TTCTGTCGCTTGTTTATGGGGGGGGGGGGTAAACTTTCTCCCTTCACCAAAACTGGTCAGTTGGTTTCAAAACTTAAGACTTCATTCTAAATAATCAGAAGGGAGAAATTCACTTACATTCAGAGGGCTCACTTAAGGTCCTCAGTCTACACCACTTTAGCCCTCCAGAGGGATTCAGACAGATTAGGCTCACAGAAGGGGCTCCACGTATACTAAATTACAAAGGTTAGTTTAGAGCTGGTCCTGAATAGGATTGCATGGAGGGGATGGCATGTGCTTAGGAGGAGAGCTACTGAATATGAAAATACCGTGTCTCAAAAATTGCTGTAAAGGGAGTGGGGGAGATGGAGGAAGGGTAACAATGGCCTGCTTTTGGGATTTGATGTGTGAAATCCTAAGCCTCTCTCAATCCTGCTTACTCTTGTACCCAAAACCCATTTGGTCAAACTGCGCTCAAGTGAGACCACACATACAAACCTTCATTTTTTTATTTTGGTGGGGGAGAGGACTCATTAGGAAATCTTCATTTCAGTTGTAATAGAAGTCATTTATATCAAAGAAAGCCAACTTTTGAGAACTGAACTGTATATTAATTTACCCCTAAGAATGCCAAAGCTTTAACAAAATCATAAAAGAAAGAAAAAAATACCTTTTAAAGCTGGCAGTTTTTGGAGTTCTCTGTTATTGCTAACATTAAACCTTGAAGAACTCTGCCGTTTTTCCTTCTTCAGTACAGTCTGTGGAGCAGGTACTTTGATTTTAGATAGCTGTGCTGGGGGAGGAGCGCTGTTTGTTTTTTTGTTTGACGCCTGTTTAAAAAAAAAACATTTAAATGTAGTTGAGCTTGTTAAACGGAATATTTTAAGAACAGAATTAGGTAACAGGCAACTTTCTTTTTGCTAAAAAGAGAATAAACTTCTAATTGACTTACTCTACCTTAACTCTCACTGCACAGCTGTCTACTTCCCTGCTCACTCTTTCTAGGCATCTAGTCTTGACTTTCCACAATTCTCCACGGATCTGAAATATCACTGTCACTTACATTACCTAACTCTTTGGAACTGACACTAACTCCCCTGCCGGCTCCTCGTGTGGACACTTCCATAGCATTTGTATGTCACAGATCTTATTTTTCCCCTTCTGGCCTTTGCCGGTTTTGCCTTTTTAAACTTAAAAAAACAACAAATGGTCTGATAGCACTTTATAGACTAACAAAACATGTAGATGGTATCATGAGATTTGTGGGTATCTGAAGAAGTGGTCCTAAGATGACACACTGTGTTTGACTGAGCATGGAGCTATGCATTGACAGATTTCTGTTAAGCTTGCATAGCATTATACAAAGTCAATGCCATCCGTATGTTAATCCATTTGCTACCACACAGAATGCACATTTAATTGTAATTACAGTGTAATTTTGCTACTTCTTCAAGTAGTGTCTCTATGGGTGCTCTACTGTAAGTGAAAACTTAAAAAACAACAAACAGCCTAGAAGCACCTTAAAGTCTAACAAAACACATAGATGGTATCATGAGCTTTTGCGGGCATAGCCCACTTCTTCAGAAGATGGGAGTTCTTCAGATGCCCACAAAAGCTCATGATACCATCTACATGTTTTGTTGGTCAATAAAGTGCTACCAGACCATTTGTTGTTTTTTAACTTTATCCTGTACAGAGCAACTTAGCTACCCCCTGAAGGTTCTTGTGTTTTTAAGTCATGTCTACGCTGTAATAAAGACCTATGGTACTGCTGTTGCTAGTCTGGGTCAACTGTTTTGGGTTCACAGGGCTCAGGCTGCAGTACTATAAAACTTCAGGAAAGTGCCCGCCAGAGCCTAAATGTCTACATTGCTATTTTTAGCCCTGCAGCCTGAATCAGTGCTTTTGCCATCTTAAAGCTACTGTCATCAATCGCAGAATATCTATAGAGAAATCAAATAGATATGAATATTCTAAGTACCCACCCAGCACACACAAGTAGAATTTAATTTCCTCCCATTTTCCCACTTCCACCCACCCACCCACCAACAACATAAGACAATTTAGCATTAAGACAGACAAGCATTTCAGCCAACAGGCAGTGCCATCTACACTGACCATTACGATGTGTTTGATTCCAGGAGAGAATCCTTAATAAGGATATACTTTCTCTAAGCTAGTGGTTCTCAAAGAGCTGTCCACGGCTTGAGCTCATTGTCCACCTCCCAGAGTGGGAGGGAGGTGGCTGGAGCAGCATTGGCATCAGCAAGTCATGGCTGGGATTGTCTATTTCGCACTCTTCTTGCTCCTCTAGTAGGCGCAGTTATCAGTTCCTGGCCAATGATGGTAGGGGGCAGGAGTAGGATTGGGCACCCGGGCCAGCATGAGGCTAGGGCGAGTCATGGCTCTGAACAGAGCTGGGGACAGCAAGAGGAAGAGCGGTAGGATTGGGCACCCGGGCCAGCACGAGGCTAGGGCGAGTCATGGCTCTGAGCAGAGCTGGGGACAGCAAGAGGAAGAGCTCCCACCCTGGAAGGGGACATTGTAGGCTCAGCACTCTGCACTTACCAATATGGGGAACCAGTGGGCACCAGGTCTCCACTGCAGCAGGAGCGGCCGAGGTTGTGGGGGCTGCCTGTGTGCGGAACTTGGCTCCCAGCAGGCTCCTGCAGCACCTCCTCCAGAGACTTTGTCCCAGCAGCAGGCAAGTAAAGCTTTAGCGTGGCATGGGCTGCAGTGCAAGGCCCCCTGCAGCCAGGCTACCACAGACTTGCCATGGAAGCAGCAACTGATGCGTGGATGGGCTCCACATAGATGTGTGTGGGAGGCTGGCCTTGGCTCCAGCACAATGTGCTCGCACCCTGCCGGGCACCCCTCTCTGCCACTGGGACTCACCGGATCAGAACGTAGCTTGCCAATCCCCAAAGACACTAAGGCTATGTCTAAACTACATTCCTCTTTTGAAAGAGGAATGTAAATGAGGCCAATCAAAAATTCAAACGAAGCGCAGATTTAGAAATCTTGCACTTTATTTGCATAATCGCATGAGAGCGCTTTTTCGAAAAGAAACTACAGTCTAGACGGGGTTCTTTAGAACAAAAAAACAAAACCTTTTTTGAAGAACCCATACACCTCATTTTTTCAGGAGTATGGATTCTTTCGGAAAAGGGTTGGGTTTTTTTCCCCCTGAAAGAACCCCATCTAAACTGTGGTTTCTTTTATGAAACACCCTTTTTCGAAAAAGCACTCACGTGATTTTTAAAATGAAGAACGAGATTTGTAAATTCATTTGAATTTTCAATCAGCCTCATTTACATTCCTCTTTAGAAAGAGGCATGTCATTTAGACGTGCCCTAACACGCGCCGTGCACCAGTTTCCCGGCTCCTCCTACAGCCTCAATCTGGGATGGTGGGATCTGGCAGGATGGCTGAGAGACCGGGGTAGTTTCTTATGGATGAGAGGACGGAGCAGTTTGCTCTGCTGCTTTCCACAAGCCGAGTCTGGCAGGCAAGGTCCGGGCTTTCTTCATTTCCCACCCCCCACCATGCCCTGTGAGTGGGAAGCTGGAGCTGGTGTTCCAACCAGCATGGGCTCCCTGCTGCATTGGGCTGGCCAATGGGAGCAACGGGGATGAAAAGACAGGTAAGCATCCACCTCATGCCCAGACCCCTGCACTCCTATCCCCCTCACCTCACCTCACCACCTCCCCTGCCAGGACCTCACACCCTCAGCTAGCTCAGGCACCCCTCTCCTAGGCCAGACACCCTATCCCCATTCCGCTCCTGTGCTCTCCCTTCCTGGCCAGACTCCCTCCCCCAAGCCTGTCCCTGCAGCTACCGTTGGCTCCTGTACTCCTCCTCCTGTCCACAGACTGCACCCTCCCTTACTATCGCTCCCTCCCCACTGGCCAAACAGCCTACTCCCAAGCCAGCTTCTGCAAACTACCTTCCACCCAGACCTCGCAATCTCACCTCTCCTGTACCCCATCTCCCGCCCACCCCCATCCCTACCCCACTCACTAGCAGCCATCCCACACACTGAAACCCCAATTTTTGTTCCCATCCCAGAGCTTAAGGGGGGGTCCACAAAATCCACTTCGGAACCCCAGAAAAACACATCTGGCCTATAGGAAGCCCTGAACATCAGTCCTCTGTCCCTTTCCCTCATCCCATGGGGCTGGAGTGCCAGAGGATTGAGGTGTCAGTTGTGGGTTACATCAGTGACGGTTGGCGGGTTTTGAAAGAGTTTTTTTTCCACTTCTCACTTGTAAGGTACCCAACTGATTGTTCTGTGGGTCAGTGGCCCCCTGACTCAAAAAAGTCCCCTCACTTCTACCATGAAGAAAACATTGAAACCTTGTGTGTTGGACATAAAGTAAAATATTAATTTTATTTAAAATGAAGTTTGATAAACTAACATGAGAAAGTTAAATGCTTAATCTGTTTAATAATTTAAATGAATACATTCTCCTTAGCTGCAGCACTAGCAAAATGGCTTGGGGATAATTATGTAATTAGCGATGAATTTCCATTAACAACTGGCAGTCTGCGGAAAAGTTTGCATTGAGCCAGGTGGTCCATGGGCCAAAAAGTTTGAGGACCACTGCTCTAAGAGTAAGCTATTTTATGAGTATAGAATTAATCTAGCTAGAGACATTACTGCAAACTTTTCAATGCTTTTTGAATTCTGTACTGAAAAGTCTTAGATTTACATTTTTTACACTGAAGTATACATGTCTACAGATACAACTGATACTTTTGTGTAACAAAACAATGCCCATTCTCCTTTTGCTATTTCTAGTACCATCAAGTGCAAAATTGTCAGCAAAGTAGGATTTCAGCATGAAATTACAGACGTAAAAAACAGATTCAGTTGCATTTTCACTGGAATACTGTTGTCCTAAACTTTATGATACTTTCTGTTCACTTCTGCATGTACTACACAGCATTTTCTGCTCATCAATTCATTACGAGTTGCTCATCACAGAAAAAAATCTTAAGTCAGCAAGAACAGTGAAATCTTGTGTTGTCACGAACAGGAAAACTACAGATCAACTGTCTGCTACCAAAAGGGAAACCGAACTAACCCTCGAGTAATCCCTTCGCTCTGGGAACAACTCTGGGGTAATAGCAGCAACATGGTGAGTACCATTCCCTTATATATGCATAGATCACACGCCTCTCTTCTCAGGCAACATGATCATCCAGCCATTGTGATGCTCTCCTCTACACTGCAGTCTGTCTAGGATGTGCCACAGAGCAGGTGCTCTTCATAAGTGTGATCCAGTGTGAACTGTCCCCTTTAAGTAGCAATTTCAATGAGCTCAGCGTATCGGAGTGGAGACAGTACTGCTAATGAGAGAATTGACAGTTAGCTCTAGAGGAGGCACACCTGAAGGCTTCTCTAGAGTAACGTTGTTTGGAAAGGAGCATTTCTCATTTGTAATAAGAACAAACCTATTCAATGGCAGCCTGGACTTCATATGAGACTGGATCAGAGAATGATTGAAGGAACCCACTTTTCTCTAACACTGTAACTTCTCCTGAATATACCCTTCTTGTGGTGTGAAGGAAAGCAGGGCAGATAAGGAGGAATCCAGAACTTGGTCCTGGTGTGCTGCAATTCTTTAGACAGGATGGGGTTGAAATGGTCAAGACATATCTTGAGACATCATCCCATCAGTTGGTTGGCTGGACTAACTCCTGTAGTCAGGAAAGGAGCGAGATTTGGAACAATAAGAAAACTGGCAAGTCTTGCCAGCTAGTCACCTTCCATGATCCTCATCATGACATCTTCAGTTTTCTGCATCACCCCCATTTGGCCTGACAA